CCCACCGTCCGGCACCGATTGATCGCACAATGCGACGCTTTGCCACACGCCTTGAAGCAACTGGCTCAACATTGGATACACCTAAGTCAGGCCAAGAACAGGCCGTTCAGCTGAAAATATCGATGCTGTGCGCGAAGATGTGGAAGAGTGTCCAGAAACATCAACGAGGCGACGGCAACTGTCGTGAAACGACAAACGGTGGGGAAATCGTACATAAAAATACATTTAAATTCACATATTAGATTTGTATTCACAATTTATTTGTAAATTAAAAGTATTATTTGACCAAACGTCAGATAACCATGCGTAGAGACAATTAGCTACGGTATACTATCTATAAGCCGATATTATTAAAATACTTGAACATATTTAATTTCAGCGTGACACACATAAACACAACGGTAATTAAGGAGGATATTATGTTTATAAATCAGTTAATATATAATGTGTTAGTCTGCTTTTTGTACTATTTAGACGGCACCTGGTAAGAGGCTTTCCTTGTTTAAAGTGGTTCTACAGGGCCTCGATTGTCTCAAAGGTTGTCAAACTTTAAACTTCTAAAATTGTTTGACAAACACAAAAGTTTGATTGATGCGTATTAATTTTTGCCATAAATGTATTGCTGGCAGACCGCAGACTGTAATAAAATTAATCAAAGTACAGCCCAAAGCATTTCCTCTGTGCTCATCTGTGCACAGCGTGGATAAACATACACAGACCATGATTAATAGCTCGGCTTTTAATCGTATTGCCAAATGTAATCACTCTCCTTTGTCCTTGGTGAAAACAATCATGTTTGTGTAATGCGCTGACGGCCATTAATCTTCTGAACTTGCAACTTTGTAGTTAACATAATTAAAATAAATTTCGCGTAATCGTAAATCGCGTATGTACTCCGTATATAGAGGTGAATCTTGTAAATATCTTACAGAAAATAAAATTTTAACTCCTTCAAAAAGCAGTTTCAATAATCTTAATTATGTTAACAAATCATCGAAGCCAGGAAGCACTAAATCATCAGTCATCGGGGTGTTAAAGTGTAAATAATAGAGGATTTTAATTTTACTTTATATTAACCACTCGCGTACAACAATAGAATATAAGCGAAATAATGAAATATTAATTGCTATGTCACGAATGAATGCAATGTAATATTCGAAGAGAGTGCCTACTTTTGGCTATGCTCTCGGGCCGTAACTCCGACGATTTAGGAAACTACGGCCTTGGTTCGTAAAAATCTTATCTTTTTCGTTTAGGAATTATGAAAATCATATTTAAAATATACACCACATGTAAAAAATCTTCATATTAATTTCTGAAGTTCTTGATTAAACGATTTTCGGCTTGGTTGTTTGATTGTCGCTACTGAATGTTGTCTTAATTAAGATACAATTAATGAATGAAAATTCCAGAACAATTTCATTCGTTTTATTTTTTGAAGTTATACTTCTTTAGGCGCGTTATGAAAAATTTATCAGAGTGAAATTTTACGATGCGCGCGCACCTGTGACACAAAATTGGGAGTGTGATTATAGCGTGCGCGAGCGAGATAGGAATAAGACAATCTACAAGTAAAAAGAAATAGAATATGCGTGAAGTTCGTATGCCAAGAATTTTGAATGACCATAATGACATTTGTCATTTACCTTTTAAACAAATAAAGGAGTTTTGATTATTTTTTCAAAGAAATTTATTAATTTTATGTTGTGCAATACTGCCAAAGCAACAACATACTTCTTAGTGTTTGGTAGAGATGTTCTAAATATATAATAATATATAATTTTAACTAAATATAATTTATGTTACACTTAATGTAAGAGAATAATAATAAATAATTACATATTTATTTAATTTTTCAAATGTAAACTGAACTTAATTGACTATAATGACTCCTTTTCCAGTCTTTGATTATTTAATTGTAATTAATTATTTGCATGCAATCAAAAACTATTTTTAATAATGCCAAAGAAGTATAACTTCTTACGCGCGTACATAAGTACACGCACCCTTTTTTTTAAGTAGTATGATTGTGCATTTGGAGTTGAAACTTATTTATCACAAGAAAAAACATGAGAAAATTATTTTCAAACTTTACAAATCGTTGCCGCCGACGATTATAACCTCTGTTTTGCTTCATTATCAATTAAGTATTTTCGGAATTTTAGTATAAAATTAATAAACACCTCCAAAGAAACCCTTTTTGGTAAAAGAAAATGTAAATAGTATTTCCAATAATTAATTTCCGTCGCCGTGTTAAGATTGAATCCTGCCAACTGTTTGATAAAGAACCAATCTTGGAGCCAATTGCCAGTATAATTACCATCTTTTGAGCAGCTGCGTTTCTTCATACAGACTAACGAATTTCACGAAATTACTCAGAAGTCAATAATTGGTTTTAGGATTACAATGAGCTTAATTGTCACAATTTTACAAATGTCGCGATGTGTAATAAATTATTATTAATTATAATACAGTAAAGTTTTTCCTTAAATTTTTAAACCTTTAAGAATTGGTACGTTATTTGCTTGATGGACCTAAGTCGAATACTTCAGTGGGCTGTTGGTTCCACATAGTGATAGTGTGGAACGATGGACGTCGACGGGATACGGATGGTATGTTGTATTCTGCCTTTACGTCCAATGATAAAACTGGGCTGCAGATATTAATCCGAATAAGTTCTCTGATCACTCTCCATGGTAAATGTGGTATCGTTGTATACGATATGTCATATATTTTATGATAATTTTAACTTATTAAATTGAATAATGTTTTAATAATAATTGGTTATTAAAAAGTTGTGTAGTGTTTCCAACTATGATCTATATCCTATAGCATAATAATGTTTATACAGTTGCAGCTTTCTTGCAATTCCCACGCAACTTATTTTTTTATATATTACAAACAAATAATTTGCAAAATATAATATTGCAGGTATATATTGAGATGTAAGCTATCCTATCTTTTAAGTTATATCAAACTGCACAAGGTGTGTAAATTTGATTTAAATCGGTCAAGTAGTTTAGGAGTCCATAGCGGACAAACAACGTGACGCGTAATTTATATATATTAAGATTCTGAACTGTTGACTGTACAATGTACATATTGCTTTCTTTAGTGCTTGTATATACTATAGTACTTGTATATATTTTTTTCATCATATATATCACAAAGCAAAGTAGATATTATATGTAATTAAACGTTTAAAAACGTATAAACAAATTGTAAATACAAAATAAACTGACACAGTAACTAGTTTTCCTTTTAATGTCGTAGATTGAATCGTCCAATTAATGTTGACCTATTAAAACCTTCGTACGGTATACATTTAGAAGAATGCGCCAGGAAACGGTGGATCAATCATTTGTGGTTGTTTATTTTCACCCCTGTGGGTGGTCGCTTAATTAAGAGTGCGAATGATAGGCTCTTTTAGGGGACTTTTTAAATAGGAAAGCTGTTTTGACAGTGGGTGATATGTTGATGAATCGACACTTTCGTGTTTTGGCAGACAATACGATGAAACTGTTGAGACTTGAAAGAGATAATTTAAATTGAACGAGTTTGGTAATCAATTTAAAATATTTGAATTGTTGACGTATAAACTTATTTTTGTATGATGAACTTGAAAAGCTCCGTGGGCATTTAGAAACAAGCAAGAACTAGGTATATCACTCGCGATTCTTGAATAAAACTGTATAGATGATCTGTGTGTCGTTGTCAAAAACTGACAATTCATCAATCATAACTATACTGAAATAGCCTAGCGGTCTTATTAAGTGGCAGCTACGTGAGGGGTACCGGGTCCGATTCCCGGTTCGAGGGCAAGTTTTAATTTAATATAAATTTGTTCTCGGCCTTTGGGAGAGTTGTGCGGTACCGGGCGAGTGCTTAAACCGTACATGGAGGACACGGCCGAATTTCTAAAGACAAAGCACGAATTATAAAAAATTCTATACTTGACGCTGGCTAATGCACAAATCGTGCCAAAGCCATTAAAAAAAAACTATACTGAAAACTATAGGTAAACTTGTATAATTTCATACTGAGGGGTCTGATTGATCTTTCAATCATACATGAATCTGTTTATCTGATTTTAAAAGTCTTCTGTTTCACAACAAGCTTAAAATAATAATAAATAAATAGCCTTCATGCGTACTACACTACTCTAAACTACATGTCATTGCGATTTACACTACTACTTGACTTTCGACGGAGTGAGGTCCTCCAAATTCTTTCACTAGTAATTAAAGACTGCTGTAAGCAAGATTGTTACAGTGTTTTGTTTCTTTTTAATTGTCTTTATGTTACGGCGCGTTTTATAAGTATAGGCCTTGTTTTTAAGAGCTTAAGTATGAAAAAACGTAGTCTACGGAAAGTAAATAAAAAAGTTTTCGATATACGGAATTCATAGTGACTATATTTTTATTTTTTATTCTTTATCTCGTGACAATCAATTTTGATGAAAAAAGATTTCATGTAATCTTTTATGATACCTATAATTTCTTAATACCACGTTAATGCCTAAAGTCCTGCGCACTCTGAATTCTACTCTAAGACCAATGCCCAATTCTAATTTGCTATCTTTACCTTTTTTGTACGAAATATCAGTTCTCTCAATTTGCGTAGCGCTGGTAACAATCAAATGAAGGAAGCCTTAGTTTAAACGCGTATTGGTATTCTAATTTTTTTAAATGTAATAGGAGGCAAACGGGCAGGAGGTTCATCTGATGTTAAGTGATACCGCCGCCCATGGACTCTCACATTGCCAGAAGGCTCGCAAGTGCGTTGCAAGCCTTTAAAGAATTGGTACGCTCTTTTCTTGAAGGACCCTAAGTGGAATTGGTTCGGAAATACTTCAGTGGGCAGCTGGTTCCACATAGTGGAAGTGGCGGCAAAAACTGCCTTAAGAAACGCCAAATCGCTTTTAAAATTGAATAAAAATAAAAATGGCTTTATTAAGTTATTCAAAATCTGACGTTTGACACAACACTGCATCTTTACAGGCCTCATCAGCGCATTACCAAAGTCAGCTGTCAGTACTGTCCACTGAAAACGAGCGTCTTCGCGGTCAGCTTTCAGCACTATCCGTCAGTCTGGGTGTCGGCGAGCACGAGAAGAAGTTGGATGATGTCGCGCAACAAGTTGTACGGGCTCTTCTCTCTCAAAAGGTATGGGGCAAAGGCTAGGTTACCATATTAATATCGTACACAGGACTTTAGGCTTTAACGTGGTATTCATAAGAAATCATAGGTATCATAAAAGATAACATGAAAACTGATTGTCAAATGTGATAAAAAAAAGAAAAATTATTCTGGCGCCTGCAGTTTTTACACATTCTTACTTCGAGAATACCACAAAAAGGTTTACCAAAGACAATTATAAAGTAGGTAGGCTGCTAAGTACAGATAATTCCGTCTTAATTTATATCCGAAGAGTCGCTTAAAATCGCCGCAGAATTAATTCCCCGCGCAAAAAACCTGCCAGAACGTAGTCACTTAATCCGGCCAAGCATTTCCGCCTCTGAAAATTGTTTTCTCATAATTATAGGCAACCTCTCGGGCTCACGGATTACCAACAGCTACATTCGCACATAAATTGTACGAAATGGGACACTTTGGCCTTACCGAGCACCGTAATAATTTTACTGAAGCTCCAGCCACTATAATCTTGGCATAATCTGGCCGATAATGTGAATGTTTCAATCTGTAAATGGCGGCCATGTTATTTAGTTTTCGCGCGAACTTTTCGGATAAACATGGCGGCATCTGAGTCGAATAACGCTGTCAACTGTCATAAAATTATAACAGTATAGACAACAAATACAGAACTATTATTCAGTATTTGTTATCCTTTATTATTACAAATAAATAGCATTATTTTATTTTCATGCATTTTATTCCAAACCAAAAATTTTGTTTAAAGAGTACATAAAAAGCTCCCAAGTCCCAACCAATTTCCGAACAGAACCTACCAATGTATAAGCCAATTCGGCGTAATTTTTTTTTTAAACTCAAACTCAAAATATCTTTATTCAAGTGGGTAACCAAGTACACTTTTGAATCGTCCAGTTAAATTAATCGTAAATTTACATTTACTACCAGTTCGCAAGTCAAGGGCGTAGAGCGGGTAAGAAGAATTGGCAAGAAACTTTCCGCCACTTATTTTTAATCGCCAAGTATTGTCATACAAATTGTTTGAACTGGAGCAAATCAATCCCAAGGATTAGGATCATTTAAGTAGTCCTCAAATTTATAAAAAGCTTTGTTGATTAATTTTCGTTTAACGAGGGCTTTGAATTTATTTAGTGATAATTCTCTAATTTCGCTTGGGAGTTTGTTGTAAAAACGAATACAATTTCCATATTAGGAGTTTTTTATCTTTTGGAGCCTGGTTGGTCGTACACTCAAATTAGTTCTATTTCGTGTATTATACTGGTGAAAGTCACCATTTGTTTTAAAATCGTTTATATTGTTTTGGACATACAACAAGGCTTCAAGAATATATTGTCCAGATAGTGTCATAATATTTAATTCCTTAAACTTATTCCGTACCGACTCCCTCGGAGAAACACAACAAATACCCCGAACAGCCCGCTTCTGCAGCACAAATATGGATTGAACCTCTGCAGCAGCACCCCTTTAAGTAGTATTATATTGATTTGAGAAGCATTGCGAGGGATAGCAAAACCGGGCAAATGTAGAATTTTACGTACGCAACGAACACTTACTCGTGCGATAGTAAAGGAAAATATCTCGAGGAAATCTGAATATTTTAGACTCAGAAATCGACAACATAGTTCATAAATGTATCTAATACACATATCTATATAGCTATGTATAAAGGGTTGTAAAAGGGTTGTGGGAGCCACGGGAAGTATATATTTAAAATTAATTTTACATTCACTTTAATTAACTTTAAATGTTATAGCGTATCTATAGCGGACGTCTTATCAGCTGTAAAGTGAGAATTTACTCAGCCAAATTGCTTTCCATAATTCAATACTGATCCGAGGCTTTCGTTGCCTCTAATTACTTGATATAACTTGTGAGGCTCACGTGAATATTATCCAAGTTAATCAAGATCCCTTTGTTATCACATTTATCAAATGTCAAGACTACGACATGGTAAAGTTTTCATACTAGACATTTTCATACATTATTTCCGTCGATAAAAAAAATGCATTCCCGCAACCTTACTCCTCTGAATGTTATTGAGGTTGGATCCATAGCGCTAAATCACCTGCATCATGACCACATCCCACTTACACCTCTCACACCACACAGTCGAAGGTATCAGGTATTTAATGTTTAAACTAAATGTTTGTTGATTTTTTCCTTTCGTAACTATTTTGTATATATTATGTATTCCGCCTTTGCCTATATGTTAAGTTTAATTGTTTCTTGTTATACATATTTAATTTGTGTTAGCTGCAGGATTCAATAATATCTGGGTGTGTAATAAAGTCGTGGTATTGTTATTTTCTTCATAGCTGAAGGCCGCCTTCCAATGCATTAAATCTGTTTTCATTTTCATCAGGATCCTAGTAAGCTTGTTGGATGTCAATTATAAAAACGTTACTAAAAACGTTAGTTTGCAGGTGCTAAAGAAAACTTTTGTTCTGTACTTAAAATGTCACCAAAATAAGACATTAAAAAATTAAAAATAATTTTAACATCTGATTGATGAAAGAAATAATATAACAATGTAACAATAGTATATACTATATACAATTGTTTCACAAAAATATAAGTGCTTACGTTATTTTGACATCCAACAAAGACTCAATCGAATGAAAGACAGTATTTGGTTTGGTAAATAAATGTTGCATCATGATAAATTTAAATCTGGTAACACTAAGAACAATGGCGTCTATCTCCATCTCCCCTTTAATTACCTCCCGTCAATTACGTTCCTCGAATTTAATTTGCCTAATGAAGTATAATTAAAATATAGGCGTTTATTTCGAAAACTGACAGGAGAAAGCTTCCTAATAATGAGTATGGGGAGTGAATTTTCAAGGAAAGCCTATTTGCGATATACGTAATAATTACCAATTTATAAACAAGTTAATCAAAACTTAGCTGATTTAGAAATTCAATTAATTGATGACGTGACAAAATAATCCAAAAGGTTTCGAGTAAATTAATCAAATAAATGAAACAAGATGCCAAAATTATAGTGTAAAAATTATGACTACATGAATTGAATTATACTTTCAGAGCGTTCGGGAAGAGTTGGGATGCGCACGAGCAAGGATTCGTGAGCTTGAAACGCAAAACCGCGCACTGAGCACACTCCTTGTGCGGCAGCTAAGACCGCAGCCCCGACCATCGCCCGCTACACCGCTGACACCACACTCTAATAGAGATTTACAAGGTATGTTTGAATACTTGGTTCTATCTATAGGACTTAAATCAGCTCTTAACATGAAACTTTTACTTAAGAATTTATCTCAATTTTAATAATAACCATATTTGCAGTTCATTTATTGGACGTGGGTTCCTGCGGTTCTCTAGTCTCATTCCGGGACTCCCCGCCCCCCGCGCCGCCCGTCCAGCACCCTCATCCCCTCAGCTCGGATGACAAGAGACGTCACCAAATATTAGCTGACATATGGACTGAATTAAAGGTATTTTATTACGTCAAAAGTTTTCATACTATGCCGTGCCGCAGTGACGCGCTCAGCCAATTAACTAGGTCAATATTAAATTATGTGATATTGTAATTGTCAACTGTGATGTCTTATTTTTCAGGGTTTGGAGGTAACGCCGGCCAACCTGGCGAGAGCGCTGTCTGCTGTAGACCCCACTTTGTGGGCTACTCCTACAAGACCTGCTACTCTTAGTCTAAACGTGCCACAACCTCAAGCCGACTCTAATAAAGGTCTGTGTCTTGTAAAACCCAAAGTCTACATAAAGTTTTAATTTGCTAAAATAAATTTGAATTTATTCTGTCTTCTAAAATCATTTGCGTACTATTTCAGGCACAAGTGGCGACAAGGAAGAAGAAACCAGCGAACAATGCGAAGCTGGAGCTGAATCTCCCGAGAGCGGCGCGAAAGACGAGGGTTACTCCACGATGTCTAGTGACGTGCAGGCTGATGCTTCGCGACAGAGCGACCACGCAGCTGAGCGAATTCTGCCAGACCTCAACGAGGCCTCCGATGAGACTGACAACCAAACCATCGTCTCTATCAATCCAAGAGAATCTCGACGACATGCGCGACTCCTCGCCGAAGCTGATTATATATATTTTCCCATAGGAGTCGCCTTCGCCGGCATCAGAGGCAGCTATCCCCCTTCTCGACCCGTCCTTCCCTTCCAACACGTAGTCCGAAGCTTCTCTGATTCTCATTTATGTTTGAAATTGTTAACTGCCCCGACTTGCTCACCTAGCCTGGATTCTCCCACGCCCAGTTCGGGAGTGTTAGTCTTAGACCTTAAACCGGCCCCGGAGAGGCCCCTCCGAAGGCCGGCGATCGCCTCCACCACCAGTTCTGAAAGGGTGTCTTGGGGAAGCACAGTCGACGAACGAGCTGATGGATCGCAATTCGAATCCGATTACGTTCAACATTGGCTAGAGCTGGACGACGCTAGATCTGCTCTTCAACAGAGACATAGAGACTTAGCCGACCTAGAATACGATAGAGCCGAATTAGAGGACTGGAGCTTATCGTTATCTTGCGAGGATCTCAGAGACAGACAGTCACCTTTCGCGGAGATAACGACGCCAGGTCAGATATCCTTGTCCACTCTTCCTAGTATACGGGAAGATGACGCCTTAGAAATGGAAGAAGATGTAGCTGATTGTTTATGGAACGACTGCGGTTTCGCAACGATCGAAATCGATGAATGCAGGATGGCGGATGAAAATGAAACTTCAGAGAAACGATGGGAATATTCTGGCACCCATTCCCCTGGTGGGTCTTGGTCAAGCGCCTCAGATGCGCCGGAGAAACGATCCAGCACAGCTTTAAGTGAAGATGGCGACTGTGCAAACATCGGCTTGGACTTCACCAGAGATTTTTATCGTCTAGTTAAATATGAAAGCACCAAGAGTTTAGCTTCGAATTCTTCTAGGAGCGTCCCAAATCAAGACCAAAACACTCATTTGCGATTTCACGACGTTCAATCGATGGCCTTACAAGACAGAGAACAGGCGCTTCAGAATGTTTTAAACTTTATCGCGGAGCAACAGAAATACTGCCATGATAGAGAAGAATCGGACTCGGTTTCATCTCGGCCTATATCTGAGATACGTGAACTTCCCCCACCTTATGCTTCGGCCGATTTTGATGATGAATCTGTGGATCCTCGGAGCGAAGTCTCAGATGACAGGCAACGACCAGATTCCTTTGGAAGCTTCTCCGAAAATGATTCCTGTGATATACGTGATTTACATAACGACAGACCAAAACTTCCATACTGTGATGTAGTATCCGAGCCGAAATCGACGCTTCGATTTATAGAGAAGGAGGAACCTTACGCTGAGTCGGAAGGCTTTTATGTAGATATGACCAAAGCGGATAACGCAGAGAACGAAATAGATCAAAACCAATTAATAAAAATTCAGAGAAAGAACGAAATCAATAAACTAATAGACGTCAACCAAACTGATCAAGATCACGCGTCTTCTGTAAAGGACGACAAAGACGAAACTAGCCGCAACACGGAACACAATTCAGCATTGAAAGAGAACACTGTCAATATTATGTTAAATAAACAAGTAAACGAAAGAGAGATAGAGACTTGTCTTACGAAGTCAACGAGCTTTACAATTTCGGGGGAGACTGAAATATCTTTAGTGGACGAAGTGCTGAGTGCCTGCAGACGCAGTACAACGGCTCTGGTGACCGTCCCAGAAGAAGAGGAGAACTCGTCGCCCGAGTCGGGTTCTCCGCAAATGACTGAATCTAACACTACCAGCACCTCGACGGCTGAAACTGTGATAATAAGCAATAAGAGCGATGGAAGAGAAGTACGACGAAGAGAAAAGAGTCGAATTCCAATGTTAATGGGTGGAAAGAGACCTCCGTCGTCCCCTAACAAAACGAGATCAAAAATACCCCTGCCTGGAAAGACTAAGATTAACGAAACGGCAAGTAATCCTGAATCGATAATTGTCAAACAGGAGCATAAGCTTAGTTTTCACGAAGCGGCTACGTCTAAGGAAGTAATCGAAGAATTAAATAGGTTAGTATTGCCCAGACAACTTTATTACAATTACAAATATTTATGATTGTACAATCACGTCACATTTCAGAATGATTCGTCAAAGCGAGGGTGTTACGACGGAAGCGAAGAATGAGGAGAGAACAGAGAAGACTTGTTCGCAGAAAGACAATGCATTATGGGCTCCTACAGGATGGGTGCACGTTGAAAAAGACATTGATTTTAGCGACCCTAAGGTAATATTATAAGCGACCCTAAAAACACATTAAACGACAGCCCCGACCTTCCACCGACGACTCGACTTGAAACGTCAAGTTCATAATTGCGCAGAATTCAATTGTTTCCTAATTTATTCTTCACGATTCATATAGGAATATAAAGGGTTTCTATGCTACCACTTTGATTTCTTTAGTGCACTTCTTTACAAATAGTAATTTAGGTTTGTATGTAAATTCCAGGCTCGAGCAAATCTGTTGGATGTGATGTTGGCGTCGAGTGACTCTTCTCCTTCCTCATGCGGATCCTCTCCAGCTGAACCTCCACCCCCGTACTCGCGGTTGCATCGGCTTCATCGCTCCAGGCGACAGAAAACTGGTAAATATCTATTAGTTAACCTGGGCGCAAAGAAGTGACGAAATTTTAGGTTAGCTTGCAAAATATTTCTGGGAAAATCTAACTGGTAAAGTTTTTCATTGTCTATGACGAGCATAGTAAAATAAAAACTTCACGAAGGTTCTTTAGGTAAAAAAATCTAAATTTGCGCACAGATTAATAATCGATTAAATTTAATAAGTGTCAATCGTTTTTCGATGCTTTGACGTTTTTATTTCATCTTGTCTATTGTTTTATAACTGGTGTATTGGCATAAGAATATTTTTTGGCACATTGATTGCTAACAATTTTTTTACTTTGAAAAATCTAAGCTTTATTTACTTAACTTCGCTCGACTTGTAAAATCATTAAGCCATGCCTAGATTTTTTTTCGTTGTCAATGTGTCAAGTACAGACTTTTATGGAACAACTTTTTGTTAGTAATCTCTATGAGAACCCTTTATTTACCTTTAAATATTTATATGCTATAAGTGGTATATTAAATTTGAATTTTGTAATACGTCAGAAAATATTACAAAATTACTATTAAAGATATTACAAAAGTTTATTATAATAGATATTTTCTATTGTTTATGCTTTAAGTGTCTATGTCTCACTGTAAACTGTCTTAGTTGCTATTATGCTTTTGTGATAAATGTTTCATAAGAATTTGATATTTTTAGTAATATGTCTTTTGTATAATATATAAAATAAGACATTCAGAATTATATATTAATTTTTAATAAAAAGTATCAAGTTTAACTCGTCTCACGAAAGATATTATTTCTTATCAATCAAATGTGATGATTAAAACTCTACAGTCCTATAGGCCTTTCCTATAGTAATAGTTTTTAATATAATCTGTCATCTTTCGTGAAACTTCTAGTATCTATGTCACGGGTATTCATGTCAAGTCACAAGCCACGTCACTCGATTCCGCTCATCGCACCATCTCACTCATTCTAGTCTTCTTCAACGCATCGCTCCGAAACACGTAATAAATTTTTTGATAGTCCCAGATTACAGATTCGGTACAGTTACATTATAATTTTAATTCCCGGTATATGGGTCGCTTTTGAGTTATATAAGTAGGAGCGATGCGTGCGCGCGAGTGCGGGCGACGGAGCTTGTGCTCACGCGCGTTGTCTCGTCCAGCGGGCGGCTGTAGCGCCCTTCGCTAACTGCCTGGTCGTGCGTAGCGGCGGCTCAGCGCAGCCGAGGCGTGGGCGTGGTGCGGCAGCTGCGCCTGCGAAGGCCCACCATCCTCGGCCGAGGGGACTTCTACGTGCGATTCGCGGAGCCCGAGCGAGCCGCCGTGGCCTCCTTCGACTTCCTCGACGACCTGTCCGGCGGATCCTCCCCGGACGCCAAAGACTGTCACGATTAGCAATATATTTTTTCTATGTTGTGATATTCTCCGCTTTCTAGTGTAGCCGGGTGGCTGCAGCTTTTTCCGCCCTTAGCGTGCGCCCGTGTGGGCCGGTAGGATAGTCTATGTCGTGATCGGTGACGTCTACCGGCGTGCGGTCGTTAGTTTGAGAGTTAATTATCGAAGCACCTAGATTAAGGTGAGCGTTGTTTGGTTTGTCCCGGGTCCGTGTTAATATCGGCCCGAGAATTGTTTGTTACTTCCGCGATTGGCTTACGCTTCGTACCGGTGACACCGTTTAGGTAAGAAGTAATGACTAAGTAATGAAAGCTGCGGCCTCGAAGTAATGTGATATTTTTGTATATACTGTAAGTCCCACTTATTTTCGTATACATTTAAATGGATTCCTTTGAAACTCGAACGAAGCGTACTTGTCGGGTTTAGGATGTGTATTTAGTGTACCCGAGTGTGCTCTTATTTTACGTGCTCACTGGTTAACACCTGATGAGTGACTAGGTTTTAACGTTAGGTACTTATGTAAATATTGACAATTATTATCGAGCTAGTACTATGACTACACTTAATTAATATAGTCATAATATAATGGTCGATAAACCTTATAAAATCCATTAAATCAAAGGGTACTAAATACGTTTAAGTGTATATATGTTATGACGTCATTGAATGCTATTTATTAATTTGTATCATTTGCGATTGTCTTGTGTATACTTAGGAACATATCATGAAATTGTATTATGTTTAAATCTTGTATTAATATATTTAGCAATGACACGAGCGCGATTCAGTACCACTGAAACGGCTATCGAAGATCTATTTGACCAATTAAATAATATTATTAATAATGCAATTATTTATGCTCAATTATAATTATTAATGAATCCTTTAAATATTAAAGCCGATGGAATATCAAACTAATTTCCACAACTCGTGTCAACGCCAAATAGTATTTTGAATAGTTTGCTGTTTGGATGTGGTTATGAACCTTATGAATTTTCTACTAATTTGCGTAGTTATGGCGAAACCAAAGCTATTATTTACAGAACACATTGCCACCACTTGTTACGCTCAGACACAACTGTCCGCTATAATATTAGTTACCCCGGCTTTGTTTAATGGCGAATATTGAATGACAATAAGGAAGATTTTTACCTATATTATAAACGAAATGTCGACTCGACCGAATATTATTAGTATATAAATTGGTATCCTAAGTTTGAACATTCTTAGAAAGTTGAAAGTCATCGAAATATTTTACGAAGCAATAAACAACCATGTTCATATATTTTTGACAATTTATTAGATAAGTCCCAACTTGTACAAAATTGTCATTTACTTAGAAACCTTTTAGGGTCCCGTGGGGTTACCATAAGCTTAAGGAAAAAGATACACTGAAAACAGCTTTGAAACAGCAATTAAATCAACAGTATAGACCTTATGGTACACCCCTTTACAATTTAGAGATAGTACACTGTTCCTATGAGATAGTTCACTCCCGTCAAATTAGGTTTGTGTGGACTTTTCGGCAGATTTCAGTCATGTAATCGTATTATGTATAAAGTAGGATTCAGTACTGTGATTTGTACCGAGTTTGAAGCACAATTGGACAAGACGTATTCCTTAATATTGGGTGCATTTTCGTACATTCTAACCTAAGATAGAAATAGGTAGGTACTTTGAACAGTACAAAATGTGTAGAGTAACAATATAATTTAATTATATACTATTGCAGTTGGGTTAAATAAACGATTCCGTTCCCAAATGACAAATTGTTTTATTTTCATTACCACCTACGCTCCTAGCGTTCAAGTATAACTTAACCAATTGGGGTCTTGTAAGACGTTACGATGCGTTTCGTAACATTGTTTTTAGTAGTCCTGCTAGTGATATCTCTTCACTTTCTTCGGTATGTAGCTTCCATTAGCTGTTATGGGGAGAACCCTGAGAATCGTAACTTGATCACAGCGGGTTGGCAATCTGTCTTTTGACCTCCACACTTTGACGACAACCAGCTTATCCAGGTTATCTGGTTCGCGTCAGGCGATATGACCAAAGTTTTTAGTAATATTAATGCGATTAAAATAATAACAAAGCGACTTTTAGCTACAAAATGGTCACTTGGTTACGTAAGGGTTTTCTAGTCGAAGGAAGGAGTACAGAAAACGTTACGGCGCGTTACATGAGGGAAGGGGGGTCAAAAATCTCAAACAATTGCGTTACGTAATACTTGAACGCTCCAAGATAAACACGTTGATGATGGGCGAACTTCGATACAAAGAGAACCAGACGAAGGTGTAAATAGTGCTTTTAGCTAAAGTAAAATAGCAGTATGTCCCGTTCACCTTAACGGGAGATTAGGGAAAACATATGCGTCTATTTAAGTGATCGGTTTTATAAGCAAATGGGTGAACAGCCTTGTTCCATTTATAACCACACCATCTAGAAGACGCTGTAGCTGAACAGCAGAGGCCCACCCTTACAAATACTGATCCGATGTCTCAGCTCCACTCACCAGGTATCTAGGATAGTACCAGTATCAAGAAGAGGCGGGCGTAATCGTCGTATCGCGTGGCAAGGCTCCTTTAATTACGCACATAGAACATGTATGCACAGCCAGAGTCGACCACTTGGTTATGAGTAAGAAGGTAAACAGGTCTCAAATTCAAGACTGAGAGCTAAGTATGACTCACGTATGCCAAAAACGGGGAAAAGATGGCTGGAGAGAGCAAGACAAGAAAATTTTGGAATGCCTTGGGTCCATATAATTACAACATATGTATTTTTATTACTTACTGGTCATGTCTTGTGTCGTATATGTTTGTGTTTTTATGGAATAAACTAAAGCTACATTAATTATTTTATTTTATTATATTAAAAACGTATTGGCTGTAAACATGACTGCCTGTCTATACATGTAGAAATAAATACTTATGCCCTTATTCTTATAATAAATCAGTTTATGCACCGTTCTCTTTCCATCATAGCATACACACAATTAGACAGAAAGAGAGAAAACAGTACATTAATTGAAAGAAAGCAGTTAGATATAAAGAGCTCGAATGTTATTTTGTGTACCTACATACTCGAAACTAGAATCTATTTAAAATTATTTCATCATATTTACGTTATCTGCAAAAACAAACCTTTCATAAAGTCGCAGGGAACAGCTGATAAATGAATCTACTATCTACGTGTTTATCACTCGACATATTTTGGTAATTAGCCAAACTCTTTAGCTGATAAATTTTATTTGAAACAATAACATGTGGCTCGTGAGCAATTTTTCTCACTCACAATTCTAAAATTATCTTCCCATCGTTTCTTAAGGTCTTCGTATATACTGAATCGTCATTTTATTCGAATGAGATCTGCAAAAAATTCAATTTATCAACGTTTTTGTTAATTTATAGTCACTAAAAGCTACCGTCATAGCGAACTTACGGAAACAGAAAGAAGTCATTTTTGTTAGAGATAATAAAATTTCCTAGAATAGAACCTTTTTAATCAAATCCATACTTTCAGTAAGAGGGCTGTTCTGAACCTACCAAATAGAGATTTGGCTCTCCAAACAGTAAGTTTTTAGAATGTTCGGCCTCAGCGGTTTATTTACCGCATATTGCGTATTAATTGGTATTGAGTTGTTACAGGACTAGAATGTATCAGAATGGGCCCTAGACCTGTCTTGGATAAACTACTTAGACGTATTTTGATTAAGGAAAGAAAAAAAATAATCCTGGTATATTTTGTTTCTTTCTCCAGCATCTATTTACCTACACAAGTATCTTTCTTAATCTTCTACGTTGCAGGATCGATTTTGAAGAACTTTTTGTTTGTAATGTTCACATTTAAACAGATGGCTATATCACGATAAAAATAGCCGCTGGGCTCACCATTTGAATAAATAATATCTATTTCACTATGATAAACACGCAAGCAGATTAATTGGCAGACAACACGCAACGCATTAGTAAAACACAACGTTAATACAAATAAATCTGTAACATTCCTTCCCCAGCTAAAAACCAAACAAATGAATATTTCTTTTATTTATCTGAAATCCTGTACGAAATAACCTTCTTCCTGAGGCTTTGAGTCAAAAGCCTTGCTCAAGTATGTATTAATTTAATATTCTTAATACACCAGTTAACTTTGCGTCTTGAGTAGAATCCAATGGCTAAAAAGCCAGTCAGTTGCTCAAGTTTACAGAGGGTCTGTGTTTAAAGTATGTGTGTATGACTTTTTTCACTGTGTCTAATCTCAAAAGAAATTATAAAGATTAGAGATCGTTAGTCTGTGTGGAAATGGAACCGGAATATGGTTGCTGCTATCTTAGTAATCATGTACATATTTGAAAAAATTCAAAGTATCTTTATGGATAAATGAAATTACGCAAAACAAGCATTATTTCGCATAATTCAGTTCTTTCCGGACAGGATATTATTTTGAAAATCAAAACGTCGGTGCTTGTCGCTTATCTGTGATTGGTTTTGTGAGGCTGTTGACTCACAAATGACCAACGTGATTAATTTATTTATTCGAACCTTTTTACCTGTTGTCATATTTTATAACGCGAAAGATTTTATTTAATATAAAACAATGGTCAGTTGATCGACTGTGGCACTGCTTCAGATTGTCGAAGGCTAATTCTAGGACCTCTAAATGTTTTTAAATTGTTGTCTTAATCTTAATTTATATTATATATGATATATAAAATAAACATACTTACGTACGATACAAATTACGAAAATTCCGACCTTATTTCAAATAATTTGGTATTTAATAACCAAGTAGGATAATTAAACAAAATTAAAATAAAACATTTATTAAAACTAACTGTCATGAATAACAGACCTTAATAATCACAGACATATGCTTAACCATGAAAATACATTTATCCTTAAATAAACACGAAATAAATTAGTTCAATATTTGTACATGATGTTATAAATTCCATATTTTAAGTATCGTCGCCATGATATAAATTAAACTAGACGCACGCGACGACAACGCTCGCAAGAAAAACCATCAAACCCATGAAATAACTTGATTTGATTAAAATGTATGTTTAAAAATAATATGATTAGGTATGTATCGAATAGTTTTATCATGGCTCTGACTAGAGAATGAGACAATTTTCATAAAATAATAACATAAGAAAATGTATTTGTGACACAGTAATTCATTATAAAAAAAATAAGTACATAGCAAACTATATATTTGCTATGTACCTTAAATACATTTGTATCTAAAAGGTATGTACAATATAACATGAATTTTACAATCGTCTATTAAGTACGGGACCTCAGATTTATAACAATGTACAGTACAATGATTTAGTTCTTGTGTACTACTGTCATTATACAATCATTATTCCGTAGATAATTTATGTATTTAAAAACCAAACCATTCCTTTCGGCTTTTACAGAACATAATCTAGATACAAATGTATATCCAAGGTCCTATTTCCATATTAATTCATTTCTATATAAAAATAACGCCAGCCATTTTGTGACATGTTCAATTAAAAGCCCGTGTACTTTTCACGCTATCGTGTTTGGTAAGCATTTAAATATAATACAAAAAAAGTCAATGTATGTTTCACTTAAAAGAGTATGATAATCAGGAAGCTTTACCATGAATTTGATAACTTCACAAATTATTTTCATACATATTGTCGGAGCAATGGCGCAGGTATCAGCTGCCATTTTCATTATAATTTCACAACATCAAAGTCAAATTAGTTAAAATCCGTTATATGGTTTATTTGATTTGCCAATATTAATAAATCTACAGATTAACAGACTTTTTGATAGTCTGTAGTAATATGTTGCTAGATCTATAAATTAACGACTATTCAATGGTCGATAATAATAATGATCCATATAGTCATTATAATTATCGATAGCTGATACCAGAGCCATTGCTCCGACGTATATATATATACATTTTATATATACACCTCTATCATACTCATGTACAAGGAAACTAAAAATACTTTGAGACAGACGTTTCCGATAGGCGTACGATGATAAATACACGCCGGCGCCCTTATTCTTAAACTTCCAAAAGCAACAGCGATACCAAACTCGACGTTTTTGTTTGAAAGTGCCATATAGGTAACTCGTAGTTTAGAATCGCAACTAAAACTTATTATTGGAATCGCTTTCAGGATCGGGCTTATAGGAATCGCGAAGTTACCGAGTAAAGGCTCTGGTCACGTGACCATATATTCAGTCGTTGAAATTCCGATTAGTTTGTCCTTATCGTAATTTCGTTTAATTTTTGATTGATTTGGGTTTGTCGACAATAAAACGTTTAAATTAAAAAAAATAATAAAACCTACGTCGGTCAGATACAATGTCAAACTAAAACAAAGTGTCGCATTACAAAATGTACTTATTTATATATTGAATCCTATTAAAATTACCTAACAATTATATACAAAACGTAAAAATAAATGAAACCTATCAATGTCTATACACTGGGTGATCAATAAATATATGTATGTGATGCAAAATAATATACAAATTCCGAAATAAATAGATTTATAAATATATTTAAAAACAACTGTATAAAACTTTCAAAATTATTTTAAAAGTCGAATTCGTACAACTAAGAATGATTTCAATTGTGAATGAATCAAGCAGACTTACTCCGTAAATTCGTTGTTGAATTCAATATTAAGGTTTCGGTACCACGTATTACAATAAGACAGTACGTTATTGAAACTACATCATGTGTTTACTTGATGTCATAAATTAGAAAAGGCACTTTGTTAGAATTCTAGTTAAAATTTTACAGAGTAACCCTGCTGTTAGATTGAAGACTAAAACTTATTCATAATCGTACTATAAGCAAATAATCAGATTACGATTATGTTTTTATCAGATTTACGATTATGTTGTTTTATTTAAATGAATAAAATTTCTTATCTATTCGAATACAGTACGTTTATTAATAACATTTTATACAGGGTGGTCAAAAAGTCGTGGATCAAATGCAAATAGGGGATAGATGAGGTCATAAGTTTTAGTATTCCTATTAAATATGCCAAAACTTGTAATACAGGGTCACTTTTCGGTAGAGTAATTTTTTTCACAGTGGAGTCCGAAGTAAACAAAAAGTTATGATTTGAAAAAAAATTATATCGTATAACTTAATATTATCTTCAATACACACAATAAACAACTATAAATAGTATGTCTAACGCAAGAACTCATCAGTACCAATCTAGTGGATATTATGAAAAAGATACAGGATGTAAAAAAAATCGAATTTTAATAAGAATTAGTAAAAAAGTCAATTTTCTTATAAAAACGCAAAATAAATTATAACTCTGCAGGGGTTGAGCTTAGAGACCTCCCGTAGAACAATTTTTTGCAGCTGATGACGACATCTATCCCCTATTTGCGTTTGATCCACGACTTTTTGGCCACCCTGTATATACATATTTGATTTGTCTAGAGTTCTAGATGATACTATGTGAGCAATTATATGGACTTTGAGACTAAAATTACAATTATCAAACCTGTATATGTCGCTTTTATGATAGTTCTCTCAATATCCATAGTCCATAGAGCTGATCTGAACATTGGCAGTAAAAACTCAAGCGCTGCTGGAAATTTCGGAGAACCAGCACAAAAACGTTAGAGGCACTAAAAATCTCCTATTTATATCTTCATGTGATTTCGTTCATATTAGCGTATTTGTAACTTTAACACGTAACGCTTACATTAAGGCTTTACGGTGATCGTGGTTCTATTTGAAAAGACAAGGTACCAAAGACAAAATTAAATTATGCTCACCACACAATAATTTATACTCTATAGATCAACTTTTAATAAGCCTGTGTACACATTTTTATAAAATAACTGGACACAGACATATGCCATGTGTAACCAGACGTATCAAAACTAAACGAAAAATTATGCATTTTATGAATCATGTAATAGTGTAACGAAATCCGCACTAACGAGAGAATCAACTCCAAATTCTGGGTTTTGCACCTCCCGAAGCGCACTTCTCAGTTATCTCAATGCTGGGCGATGCGGCGAATATATTCTTCTTTTCTTGCTCCATATTACCACTGTTGAGAAGGAATTTCTTGAAATGTCATTCCACATGTAATGCACATCCCAAATGAGATACTTGATGATGCGATTTGTAGTTTTACGAAAGTCGTAAGTTTTGCTAAATATAATTCAACATTACTTTCTAATCTGAGTTTACATCATTTGTAACTTTAAATTAAGTCACAGCGAAGAGAACTTTTTTATAACAACTAAGGGAGCGTTCATGTATTACGTTAGATTATTGACACCCCCCCATGTAACGCGCCGTAACGTGTTTCTGTACCCAAGTATAGTAAAACGTTTCGTGACCACCTAGTGACTCTTCATACGTAAAAGTTACTATTATGTGGTGTAAGTCGAAAATAATATTAACAATAACGAGTAATTCAATCACGGCCCCGCATCGTAACGTTTTACAAAAGGACCCCCCCACAATTCGTTACGTAATACTTGAACGCTCGCTAAGGAGAAATAAACCATAGCTATGCATACTGTCATATTAAGAAAAACTTTTTCTATGTTCAATAAAAAAATATTCGCTTCGGGAACAACTGTTAAACATTTGACAAGCTAAGGTAAGTAACCTAAGATAAATAAATGTATAGCAAAATTTACGACAGTCGCGTATAAAATCCCCATAGTGCGTTTATGTACCAAATTCTTGAAGCAATATTTGTGCAGTGGATATCCTCAAGCAACCCGGAACGTAAAATACCGGTACATTTATATCATGCATTAAATATTTATAAAATAAAAAAATAAATTTTCTAACAAAGGCCTTCTATGTTTAAGCATAATCAGTAGTCCTGTCCAAAAGATAGACAAACACAAACACAAAGTCGAAGCAATTATCAGCTAGTAATTTCACGATAAGAATAATCACTTTTCCAAGTTTCTTGTACCGCTAATTGCTTCACCGCGCGTTAAAAACCAATTTGGAAACAATTATTTCCAAGTGACATGTACCAATTAAATTGCGATTATTTTTATTTTTTTCTACAAAGAATGTATGTATAATATTGTATGTAATATAATGTATACTTTAATTTCTCTCTATATATTTCCGAGGTGTAAATGGCTTTGACGCATCTCTCGCACCAAAACAAAACATGGAAATGTGGGATTAAAGACAGTTCCGGTAAACCTTCTACTACTAGGGGGCATGCGCCTAGATAACTTCGTGAGTGCTAAAATAACTTCGGTTGCCAAATACAATGCCTCACTAGAGGCTCCCGGGTTAACTTTCACATTCAAACCGGACTCAATATATCTAGACATACATATATTTACATAATTGCTGCGTTAGAATTCTTAAAATTCGGTTTAAAAGCGTGAATTTTCTTCACAATCCTTGCTTGTACATAAATACAGGATTAGAATGATGCAACATAATTATGACAACGCGTCTTGAAGCACGTTCGCTTTTTAGCTAAATTAAGTGCTGAGTCATTCCGCCTTTGTGACCCACCTACATTGTTTTCTTTGTCAAAATAAATGTCATATTGATGAAATATACGAAACGATTACGAAATTTTTTACAATCCAAATATTAAGGAGAAAATTTGTTCCTTTCAAGTATATATGTTATCACCCCTAGTGCATTGCCAATAAAACTTACTGAAGAGCTCGTGAATGCTTATTATAACAAAGGATTACATTAAAGAAGGAGTCTTGTTTTTGAATCTCACCCTATTATTAAAAGTAATTTGAAAATTAAACCGACTTCAAACCCCTCTCAAGGTAATATTATTAATTATATTATTATATCATACATATCCCCCGCAGAAATGTTAGAGTATAGATATCTCAGAAACGACTTAAGCGATTTTGATAGAACTTGGACTGCACTAAATGTACCTTATTTAGATAATCCTAATGATTTGTAGTTTCCGAAAAGTTTGTACCAGTTCTCAAATGCATGATTTGTAAACATCTTCCTCTCTTGTCAGACCTGAACGCGATGTTGAAGAAATTTAGTTTGTAAAAGAGAATTTGGATTTTGAAATAACCGATTCTAAATCATATAAATTATCCTTGCTAAGATCACGAAAGCAATTATTTCTTTATGTAAATCTACACTAGTAAATAATAGTTTTAGTTTAATAATAATTTCGACAGAAAGCAATAGTCAAGGTCGTGAAAATTATACTGTCTAAGCGTTACAAATTATCTAATAATATTCAACTCTCCATATGAAAACATTGAAATATCAAAAACCTCTTATAAAATTTAGGGCTAAGTAAGAACTCCAAAACTCACTTTAGATAAAACCGTAAACAGCTGATGTAAACTGGTATCACGACTTTCTCCGACACGTGCCGAAATATAGAATTGCCCGTGTTTACCCCATAACTATATATAACCTTACCTTACTACCTAACTATAATGTATACTAACCTTTTACAAAAATCAACAGTCTAGGCAGACTTTCGGAATTATAACATTAAAAATATTAATTTAATTTAATTTTTTCAAGGAACTGCGATGTGGTAATAAAACTTCGTTAATAATCCAAAAAGAAACAGAACTAAAATCTTTTAATTATTAGAGAAGTAGGGAAGGGGATGACGGGTCTGGGCGTTACTGTATACGATTTTTAGCATTTTCTGAGAAGATTTACTATAGTAATATATATATATTTTTTCACCATAGGAAAATAGAGATTTCAACGAACTGAAAGCACACCAACTTTTTGAAAAAGCTGATATTTTGACGGGTGAATTTTCGATTGAAAATTAGGGTGCTTTTTCGATATTAATTCAAAATAAGGTGAAAAAATTATTATTTCAAATCAAATAAATTACAGCGTATTAAAAACATAAAAAGGTAAGATTTCACCAAATTTCGTGGGAAAAGAATAAATTTTGTAAAAGATAAAAATTAAAAACCAAAAACTTGGTTTTTTGAATTTTTCACATAAATTTTGAGGTTATGTGAAAAAGGTGTAAATACAAAAGTTTTAGATCTTTTTATTACCTACAACTTAGCCATTTGACTTTTTCCATAGGACTTTTAGTTTTACCGGAAATCGAGATAAACCGTTTTTTACCCTTAAACTCCCCTTTAATTTTTATAATATTCTCCTCCCTTTCCAATAGGTTTCATCCTACTATTATTTTTTTCACTTTTTATTTTTTTTAAAGGCTATCTGGTCTAAAGTGAGAATTTACGATATGAAATGTTATAGAAATGTCTAGGTAATGGTACCGTCACAGTATTTTTAACAAACCATGTTCAAGAACCATGAAATCTGATGTCACGTCAGTACTTCAGTGATTGAATATTACAATAATACATACTTTAGAAATAAACAAAGACACGACAGAAAACACGAGTTTTCTTCCAGTAACCGCGACAATAGTATAAATTTAAAAAAGGTTTAAGTTGACTATACTAATGTTAGAAAGATTTGTATGTGTATTACAAATAAAGCAACAAAAGACTACTGGACCGATTTTATTTCATAATATATATTTAATAAACAGAAGACTAGCGAGATTAAAATATATTTGTTTGCGCTATTTGTGTCCTATAAACTACATATAATCTATCCTTTGATTAATCCATTAAAAATTGATTGGAACACAAGTTACAATAAAAGGTAATTCCCAACTGATATCAACTGATAAGAATAGTTAATCTTTTAATGCAGGTAAGATAAAGAGAATTTCCCGAAACTTCACAAAACCCAAGTAAAAAGTGCAAAGAAATACTTCATGCGAAATGTGTGATTTCATTTTGAAATCTAATTTGAATAACAGAGTATTGTGGGCTTATTTATAAGTATGTAAGCATGTCTGATTATGAGGAAATTCTAATTATGAAAAATAGGTTAGTACCAATCCATGCACAAATTGTGGAAAGCAAGAACAATAGCTTAACTACTGTAAACACAAAAGCAGCTTGATTGTAACAGCAGAAATTGATAACAGTAATATTACTATTTCCTTATAAAATGATAAACATCTTATGTAAATTTTTGTTTAGTGTATGAATAGTCGCAACAGTGTTATTATGACTTAGAGCCTGAGACTTTAAAATGGTAAATAAATTGTGATTTTAAAATTAAAATTGCTGTATCAACTTCTTATATTACAATATTACATGTAAACATACCTTAACATACTCCTGAAATTTTCCAACTCCCGGATACTATTTGACAGCCTTGCAAATGCATTGAATAAAGCAACAATTTCTGTCCTCTGAAGGCGTTTTTGTGATTTGTGCCGCAAAGGTAACTTGCCTTGACCTGGGTCACCTTCACTATCCCATCTACCTGAAAAGAGAATCTTCAAAGCTGTTCCCAGACCTTGAGTCTGTAGTTTACCCCACAGCTTGCATTTGTCACAACCTACACAATCCATTATCCTTGAAATATTTAAGAAGTGCTCTCTAAACTCAAACTTTAACGTGGCAGCTTGAGTCCCACCATTAAACATAAGCGATTCATTGAAATGATCTGGAAATGAGTAAATAACTCCCAGCATATTCTTTATTGCATTCCTTGTCTCTTCATCTTCAATAGGGCTGTCTGTGAAATAATCTTCTCTCTCTAAATATGGCCCAGCTTTGGCGAGAGCCCTCATTTCTAATAAGTACAAAAAGTACAAATTCTTTAACCAATTGGGTCCTTCACCATGCGTTTGCGATGGATCAAATCGACGCTGGAATTCATCCAAATTAGGACCCCATTCTCCTTCAGGTGGGGCAGCAAATCCTATCTTTTTCTCTGACAACAAATATTTTGAACAAAGGTGGATGTTAATGCTTGTATGTAAACCAGATATAGCTCTATAAAAAACCCTCTCTTCTAAACACATATTACTTAAATCGGAACTTAATACATATGGGAATGATTGATATGGATTTGTCTTTGGACGGAAGCAGTTTTCTTGGTATATGCTCCTCCAAATTCTGTGGGCAGAGGGACCTTTGTAGCCTGTATAACGTTCAGGATTTAGTGAAAGGTCCACAAACTCTGCATCTGCATCTTTGTCATCACATTGACAGAAATTTTCTAAGGAATCATCATATGCTTTCCATTTAGCTATTTCAAATTGACTTGCAGCACTAATGGTCATATTCAGGTAACCCAAATCAGGATCATGATCAGAATCTTGGTCACAGTGAGTAGTTGCATCTAATGAGTATTTTAAAGCTGGAGATTCTTCAAGATATTCCTCTTCATAGCCATCAAATCCAGGCACACTCTCTTTGGAGCATGTTTTAATATGACAGTATTTCATAGCACATCTACTATCATCTGCCCAGAACGGACATTCTTTTTTTAAGTTTACTTTATAAAAACGAAAATAGTCTTTGCTCACCAAGCTCTGGATTCGGGGAAATATTTTTACGTTGTTAAAATAGTCGATTGTGTCTACATTACATGAACAATCTCCGAGCGCTCCATGAAGAGTTTCAAAACAGGCATTACTATCGCACGGTGGACTTTCGAATAGTTCCGTATCATAACCCACTGCTTGAACTATCGCAACAGCAAATATTATAAATATCACGCAATAATTTTTGCACTCCATCGTAAAATAATAAAATTCCAACTAGAAAAAGTTGTTCAAGCCATTTACAAAAGGTAAAGATTTTATGACCAAAACTTTTAATACATTATTATCATAAATACATTGGCGAACGTGCTTTTCGAAACGTCTACTGGTGTAGTGTGTACATAATCGCAGTTCGTCCGAGCTCCTTTCGCTTTTGTCACTAATTAAAAACACAGCTCGTCACTACAGACTACTCAGTACTCACCAGAGCCGTGAGTAACCACGACTTTAGGCTATGATTACAATAGGCCCATACCTTATTCAGTGATAATTTAGTTAGTTAATACACCAATCAAAAAGAAACACACAATAATTAATTGACTTTTCACTCTTCAACATTCATAATTTAGAAAAAAACCTGAAAGTTCCTAAAACAAAACAAAGATATTGTCACTTTTGACATATTGTAATTATCAGTTTTCATGACATTCACTAATTGTCATTGTGACCACAGAAAATCCACAACTTTTTGACAACAGATAAGCAAGAATATACTGTATTGCACTTCCGACTGTACGAGTTATATAACATGTATTTTAATATATTCAATAGTTGTGAGCTACATAATCTATTAATTATTGCAAAAGTGAAAGTTTGAAGATTATGCTGCGAAAAATTTGGTAAAGTGAAACTACGTTGTGATTTCTTTCGTATATAATATGACCTCAGTTATTATTTATTTTTCGATGCTGTTACTCTATTAAAAATTTCTTGTACAAAATATTGTTTGTGATCTTACTTTTCCTCCTAAATTCCTTCAATCTACATCTCTCCTACTGCACAAAAACATCTCACTTCAAGTGAATTATGCATCCTCTATTACCTACACCAAAAAAGTAAGGGCAAAGAGGACCGGTGTAGCAGTTACGCAAATTAATATACCTATGTATTTAATTCTTTTGCAAAAAAACGGGCACCTAAATTTTTTTAGGTTCTAATGTCTATTGGTCTGGCGTAGTCTGTTTACTTATATTCGTGTTAATTGATAAGCGTAAAGTAAATTCTGTTTTTTTTATTTAAATTAATTATTGATGAAAAAAAAACAAGACGTTTTAATAAAGTTCCAAATGTAAAAACCTAACAACGAGAGTGATGTTTTCCTGCCAAAATCAAGGCTTAAACCTTCTGGGCACGCTTTCCACAGTTTTTAATAACGTTTTGAGGAATACGTTCCCACTGCGGATGGACTATGGAGCCCAACTTCTTGCAAGTACGCTTCCAAGTCGCCAGGACCGCGCGGGCGAGCATGTCGTCCGTAAAAGTAAAAAAATCTTCTATTCTTTATTGCCGACCAAAAATTATAAAAATTTCATTCTATTCACGCGTATTTATTTACACGACCAAAAGTATACAGACTTTTACTTGAAACTGGCATAAAGTCAAAACTATTGCTATAATATTAAAAAAAAAAAACATTCGTCAGAACATTCTCTTAATTAACTGAAATCGATCTTATAGTGCTTTTCATGAAAGAAGTCCCGCGGATATTTTTGGAACTAAATTTGACAGGTCGGCAATGTTGTCATTCGTCGATGTTATCAAGTTCGTTTGTTGTGGTAGATTTTTGTGAATTTTTAACTATCTTAGTGCATTTTAAATATTGATTACAATGCCAAAAGTTGTAAAAAGTTCGGCTCGAGAATTGATATTAAAGGTGAAAGAGTTCTGTGAAGCGGAACAAAAGAATAAAGGTGTTTTAATACCACTAAACAATGTTCGGAAGAGAGTTGCCGCCATAACAGGTACTTTTTAGAGTTGCCATTTAATAATTTTTTGCTGTATTGATGGGAGTTTTATGATAATATAAATTCGTTTTTACGACAAAATTGAACAAATACATAACGTGATGAAACTAGGTAACTGAAATTAAAACATATATTACATAAGCATTATAAACTTAAAGTTACTATTATTTTTAATTGTTCATAATTTAATTGCAGGTGTGTCAGAGAAAACTGTATCAAGAATTACAAACGAAGGTGTAACAGCGGCGTGTACTTCAAAAAAAATTGTAACCCCGGGGAAGAGTCGCCCGCATCCGAAAAAGTTCGACTTAGACGGGTTCGATTTGTGCGCTATCCGGCAAAAAAATTTACAGTTTTTACGTCGTACATAAAGAATTACCAACATTGGTTAAATTACGGGCAGCTCTGCGAGAGGACATCAATTATCAGGGAAGCATCACAACATTGCACAGGATATTAAATAGAATTGGTTTCAAGTACAAGCGATGTCAATCCAGACGAAAACTACTTATGGAACGCCACGACATTACCGCATGGCGTGCAAGATATTTGAATAAAATACGAATAAATCGCACTGTGGAAAAACGACCAGTTGTATACTTAGATGAGACCTATATACACAATACTTATCATACAAAACGTTGTTGGCAGAGTGAGGAGGAGCCAGGAATGTTCGTCTCAGAATCATCAGGGAGTCGCTGGATAATCGCTCATGCGGGAACAAAAGATGGATTCATAAATGGTGCATTATTAATGTTCAAATCCCAATCAAAGTCCTCAGATTACCACGATGACATGAACTCAGCAAATTTCTTAAAATGGGTGACGGAAAAACTAATACCTAATCTACCTGAAAGGTCGCTTGTGGTAATGGATAACGCTCCTTACCATTGCACTCAATTAAACAAAGCCCCTTCTATGTCAAATATAAAAAGTAGTATGCAAGAGTGGCTCCGGCAAAAGGGTATATATTTTGAAGACACCTGGACAAAAGTTGTGCTGTATGAGCTAATCAAACAAAATAAAGGTCCACCGATATTTGCAGTGGATGAATTATTAACAGCTCACGGACACGAAGTATTAAGGTTGCCGCCTTACCATTGTGACCTCAACCCGATTGAGAATATCTGGAGCCTTGTAAAAAGAAAGGTGGCGGATAAGAACGTGGCACAAGATCCAAAAGAAATATTAAAATTAACTAAAGAGGCCTTTGAGTCTATTACGGCTGAAGATTGGACAGCTCAGTGCTCGCATGTCGAACATTTAGAGGAGGAATATTTAAAAAATGACGGCCTTATGGATGAAGTGATGGACCGAATAATTATATCAACTGCTAGTGATACTGAAACAGAATCTGATTCTGTTTCAATACACTCTTCGGACAGTGATGTCCCTATGGCCGTTGATCACAATTATGCAATAAAACTCTGAATAAACAATTGTATTGCTTTTCTTTACCCTATTTTCTTATCTTTTCCCTGTAAGTAGGTAGAACACCGCAATATAAGTAAATAAAAATATACTTTTTACATAACAGATATATTGTTTCATCGAAGTACGCAGAAAATAGTATTATTTGATAAATTACATCTGCTAAATGTAAATAAAATAGGTAAATTTTTTACTCATAAATGGCAACATTACGTCATGCGATTGCAGCGCCGCGTCTGGGGGACTTCTTTCGTGAAATCGACTTACATCGTTAATTTCTTTAGTTGTCATTCTTGCAAGTTTTTTATTTTCCGATTAAAAGCAAAAATTTCACTTTTGAAAAAACTAAAGTTCATACTGTGTAGCCCACTGTAATGTTAAAAAGATGAGTATTACTATCGTAAAAAAAAAATATATTATATAGATTCCTGAATTTGTTAAATGTTGTTTTTTTATAGACTTATTCTATCGGTGTTCGTAGTAAATAAAATACACGGTTTCTTTATCGTTTTATTAAATAAATTCACAAAAGCTGTTACTTTAGAAATGCACAAGAGATTCAAACGATAGATTTGCTCCCTTTATATTTACAATCCGAGAAACAGAAATGCATACAAACTTTAATAAACACTTTACATACAAATATAAATTGGACGTAGAAGAATTTACTTACTTATATGTTATATATTAGAAAATACTTAATCATTAAAGGCCTCGTGGTATTTTAATTTGGAGACTCTGATACAGATCTAGGAATTAGGATCATAAACACACTTTTACAACTTACACACAATTTTTTTTTAATCTTGTGACTTTAGATCTTATTTTCCAAACAAAATTTGTATATTCTGATAGTTACCATAGGTTTCTGTTTTGCTGTTTGATTTTAGTCATTTAAAAACTGTAAGTTAATAAAACATGACAACTGACAACTACTTTGACACTTGATTAGATGACACAGTGTCATGATGGTTTATGCTAGTTTAAGTGTTGTAGTTTAATTCTTTAGACTTCAGATGAGGCCTTATGTAACATGAGATACAAACTAACTTAACATTACTTAATGAAATATAACGCGTTAAGCGGTCAACTAAAATAATCATGGGCTTAATTTGAATGATAAATTTAAATATGTCAGGTAGTCAATATAAAAATATACTATACTAACATACAATTTGTATTATTAAACATACTAAAATATCTTTAAAACGTCAGAAAGAAATTGTTGATTTTTTACCATAGGTATTGAGCGAATAAAGCTAAGTCATACACTCATTTTTGCTTATAAATAGATCTTTTACCCGATTAAAACGCGGTAAATAAACATTCTTTATTTGTACGATTTAACGCGTTTTAAACATTTGAAAAGTGTATTTTACTCGCGTAAAAAGGGTTTAATACAAATAACTCGTTAAAATATAATCGGCCTCAAACTTGAACACTCAAAACTTGGTAACAATTTCGAAAATGTAGAGGTGGGTTTCGATTCGTTATAAAATTGTACGTTAAAATATCGTTATTTGTTCTGTGGTGTTGCCAGCTTACGCGTACCTGCAAAATAGGAAAATATTAAAAATACTGAATTCTATAAAACAATAAAACCATTGTCACTGGTACCGTTGCGAAAATTAATCACGAAACGTATAACAATTAACCAAAATTCATGCAATTTACTTTTTACAATACTCACCAGTAATCCAATATTGTATGTAATTAAAACAAATATTAATGGTTACATTTATTTAAAATTATAGTCTTACAAATCCTTTGATTACAATTTGGCACAAATCTAATTTGTACTAAAAATTATTATCTCAAAAGGCTGGAAGGGGCGCAGGCACAAGGTTAAAGCATGTTTAAATCAAACATAGAATTTTCAAGAAAATAAAAAACAAACACTACTTATTCAACCCTTCCAACCTGATTTCCTTATTTTCCTAAAAACAATTTTTTTAGAAAATTACAGAAAACCATAAAGTTAGTACAAATCATGTAAAGACATAGAAAAGCTCACAATGGTACATTAGCATAGTCCTTTTTGCTCTTTTTAAAATTCTTTATGTTATTTAAGCTTTGTTTTTTTAATTAATCCAATTTCAAATTGAAATCTATAGAAAATACTGTATTTTAAGGTAAACATATTTGAGATGTTTTGATATTTATACCGCTCTTGAAGAAAGTGCGCAAAAAGGGCTACTGAATTTGGCAACACTTAACAAACCATCAACCATAAACATTGATTACAAAAGCAATTGTGCAACGTCCATTAAAATTTAAAAGTAAAAACGTCTAATCGTTTACTCATCATAAAATAATTAGAATGATAACCATGTTCCTGGCCATTATATAGTATATAATTTATAACGCGGCAAAAAAATTCAATGGAAATGTTTTGACAATTGACATTGTTTTTGGTATTCCCAGCTCAATGTGTTTTTCACAATCGTTAGGCAAATATCATTTATTGCACATTTTTAATAGCATAAGAGGTAAAACTAAAAATGGACGTTGCAAACTAAATCTAAAATTTGCGCATGTTAGTAAAGCTAGTAGCAACATAACAATTGAAGAACTAAAATAACACAATTAATTATTTTAGTTCTAGAAAAGACAGGTTACATCAAGAATATGTTATATTGCGAATACATAAACCAGTGCAGCACTAAGGGAGCGTTCAAGTATTACGTAACGTATTTGGGGGGGGTCCTTTTGTAAAACGTTACGATGCGGGGCAGGGATTAAATTACGCGTTATTGTTAATATTTTTTTCGACTTACACCACATAATAGTAACTAAAGAGTCACTAGGTGGTCACGAAACGTTTAACTTACTACGTAATACTTGAACGCTCCCTAACTGTACGAGTCAAGTAATAGATAATGTCAATTCTTGACAGCTTGTACGATTTTTAAACTTAACGACTATTAAAGCGATGTATATTGCTTGTTTAGTTCCGGAGCACATGTACATACAAAATTCTATTGTTTTGAATATATTACTAAAGTTAGTGCTTTAGATTACAATCATTTAACTGTCAACCATTTATGAAGAATTGGTCCTAAAATGTTTTATAAAAACATAATCAGTCTAATTCAAGTCTTTTAAGTAAAGTAATCTTTAGTCTTTCGGTCAAATTTTGTTTGTGCTGTGATTAAAAGAAACATAAGTGTACTTTACTGTATAAAGAAAAAAATTTTCACTTCTTTACATTGGGTTCTAGCTCAGAAATGGAGAGAGAATTTTTCAACGCCTATGGGACCGTTCAAGTATTACATAAGCAGATTTACTGCTATTTATCCCCCCATTGTCAGTAAAAGTAAGCAAAGCTCTCAAAAATAATAGTACATAAACGTATTAATTTTTTTTAGAAATCCTCGACAATGCATTTTCAAGCATAGACAATGTGTGGGTAATATGTGTAAAAAAGTAAATAATTACTGTTGAAGTAATCACACATCAAAGTGCTTACGTAATACTTGGTCGGCCCCTATATCAGAGTACCATCCCCTTAAGAAATTTCCCAGTGCTGTATGAATAAACATACACAGCTCCCCACAATATTGCATCAAAATGCGTGTTAAATAAAATCCATTTGCAATCAAGCACACGTCAATTCCACAAAGCTTTGGATTTTAACAAGCATGCGACCGGTTAGAACAAAAAATTAAAAAACCAAATAATGTGTAGGTACCAGTTCTAATGTACAAAATATTAGTAGTGAGACCTTCTGTCCATGTTTCTGATTGAGTTCGCGAGGCACAACGAGAAAAGAGCTCCGACCACCTGAAAAGTAATAGTAGAAAAATATACAATCTCATCATAAACAAGTGTTTGCTTCTTTTGCAAATGGCCAAAGATAATTTAGCATAAACTTCACAGACATTATGTACTAATCAAATTGTAAATATGGGTATAAAAATAGGATATTGTAGAAAAAGTACAATTTTATATAAATACTAGCGGACCCGACAGACGTTGTCCTGTCTTAACTATGAATATTGATTTCAAATTGGTATAATTAATTAAAAAATATTTCAGAAACAAAGTGTTTATTATTCTAATGCTTTATGTTATTCAACATTCTTTGTTTGTTTTTCTGGCTCGCATATTATTATATTATCAATATAATAACTCCGATCGAAGCATTTATTTTAAACGATATTCATTTTTCTTACATCCTCTTTGACGATATTTGCAGCACGCATTCTGTCAATGTTATGTCAAACGCCATAAGGTTACATCAAAAAGTTCGAATTGTATGGTGGTTAAGTATTCTTAAATTTTCTAATTTTCCGCGCAATTTTTTTCTTTTATAAGAACCTTCTCCTGACAATTACAAACACAACAGAAAAAAATCAGACAAATCGGTCAAGCCGTTTTCATGTTATGTCGTGACAACGAAAAACGGGTTTCATTTGTATATATATATAGATATATAAGTTATTTAGACGACAACGAGACGATGGCAAGCGGCCCGGCCAAAGCTGGGCCGGCCGCAGAGGAGGCGAAAAATAATAAACGGCTTAAATATTAAAGTCTTTCCTCCAACAAGAGCAGAGGCTCTTGGGCCGTGGGGTTCAAGTGCCCAGGCGCTAATTAAAGATTTAGGTTGGCGCCTGGTAGATAGTAGGTAATGATAACCCGAGCTGGTGCTTTCCTCGCTCAACGAATAAGTATCGCAATACAGCGAGGAAATGCTGCCATCGTTGAAGGTACACTGCCACAGGGACCAAACTTCTTAATTTTCTTTAAATTTTCTTTTTATATTTTTTTTATAACCGATTTTGTTTTTAAGGAACTAAATGTAACAATATATTTATATTATGCTTTAATTCCTTTCCATACCTTGGGAAGAGCATAAGTCATAATAAATCGACATCAATAGTTTATATTTACTAAGCAATTGTATAAAATGTATGAATTTAAATTGTATAATAAATAAACCTGTATATTAAGGAACATAAAAGACACAAATCGAAACATTCATTAATCTTCAAAATAATTCTAATTATTTATTTATACTTTATTACCTTATCGAAAACATACATATAAAAAAATAAAAGTAAAAAGCAGGTTACATAAGTTAAAAGGGATCGAGCGGCCTTATCGCTAACAAGCGATTTATTCCAGGCAACCAAATTATTATTATTAAATTATTATTTCAACTAATGTTTAACAATAAAAAATAAACACCTACAGAGGGTAAAGTACAAGAAGTGTTACTATAACTAAAATAAAATGAAGAAAAATCTAAAGAAATAATAACAATAAATTAAATTTTTTAATGCCAATCAAAAGGTTAACTGAGTAACAATAGTTAATATATATAAGTAGTAGCTAATTACGAGGCTTACAAAAATGATCAAAAATAAGCTTTTTAAATAAATTTAAAGACAGCTCGTCTGATATCAATTCGTAAGGGATTCCATATATTGTTCATAAACACTGATATATAAAAATTATTAATTTTATATATTAATCATACCTCAACACAGGCCAGACCAATAGCAACGCCAGCGATGACCTTACTCCACTTCTCATATTGCTCTCCTACTTTAGTTGAGCACCCTGTGGAGTTGGCATCAGCGATCGTACAGGTTTCACCCAGGAGTTGTCCAGTCACACCCAGCTTGGAACAACAACTCTTGGGGACGAGGAAATTGTAATCAGCCGCACTGTATTTGCCGCAACATTCCAACTGAAATTGTATATAAAGTTCTGTATAATAGACAAATTCACTACTACCTTTTTAATATAAAGAATAGAGCAGACACAAGCCTCTATGCCGCACCCTAGTCATTTAATACATGATGGATTGGATCCTACTCAAGATTCCACTATCGAAATCTCCATGTTTTATCTATATTCTGGGTATGAAAAGGTCATCGCAAACGAAGTATGGGCCATCATTGGCCGACATAAAAACACAAAACCCTGATTACAGATTAGAAATCAAGAAAAAAGAAATTCATTCAGAAACAAATGAAGTTTGTAAGACATGAATTAATGTTACAATAAACTTTTAAATTGCTTGGTCTACTGATTTTTGAACTGTATATTACTAAGGAGTAAAATCAGATGATGTAATGTTCATTAGTTTAAAAAATAAGGATTATAGGTGAGATTTACCTGTTGCTCGAGGTTGTTGAAGACAGTCTTTGAGGCAGCATCACTTTTGGCCTTATCGAACAGTGTGTCCACTGACTTGACAAGGGCGTCCTTCAAGTTCTGCTGGTAGGCGAACAAGAGTACTCCCAGAGCTACTTGAACGATGATGATGACCAAGAGGAAGACGGCGTACTGTAATTAAAATTATTTGAATTAATTTTCACGTATACACAACATTTTAACATCTATTACCTATAAGTGAAATAATGTATTCTTACAAATAATAAAAAAGGTAATTATGTCCTCACTAGAACACATATACTTAATATAGTATATTTGTTGTCATGGTTCCTATTATCTTAAGAAAAAACATAGTAATCTTGCGAAAAAGCCTAAGCTTGAAACCTAAGAAAATAATAGTAGGATGAAACCTATTGGAAAAGGAGGAGAATATTATAAAAATTAAAGGAAAAATAATTTACGGGCGATCTGAGGTCGGGAAGGGGGAGGGGGGAGTTTTAAGGGTAAAAAACGGTTTATCTCGATTTCCGGCAAAACTAAAAGTCCTATGGAAAAAAGTCAAAGTATTAAAAAGTATTAAAGTATAAAAGTATAATATTAGGAAATCATTAAGTATTGAAAAATGAAATTCGAAGTGATAGCCAAAAAGCAGCCTAGACGTGAAAATTAGTAAGTCATAAATGTAACGTTTTATGCAAACATAGGACAATTGAATTGCACGATTTAGTACTGCTAATGGAATTTACAAACAGAAAAGTAGAACGAAAGTCGCTTTCGAGGCGTTTATGTGCTTTGTTTGATTAACAATCAGATTCTTTACTATTGTTATGTGGTGTTTGAGAATTCCTTGACTTTTAAGTAGGGTCCAACTTGAGCCCGGTGAAACAAATCGTTAAAACGAGAATTATAGCGTTTTGTCCCTTGTTAATAAAATCTCTATTTATTCAATATTCCAGAGTCACACATTGTGTCTTTTTCAGCCGTGCTCTTCATTTCTGAAGTTCCGCACAACTTCCTCCACTCTCCCCGGTCATTGGCAAGCCACGCCTGGGTGATGGTAAGACCTGTAAGGGTCTTTACTGGATCGGTCCAGCCAGTTGGGGATCGGCCTCGAGATCTGGTGCCCTCAACTCTGCCAGTCACGATTAGTTTTTCTAAGCTTTCTGGACCTCTGCGTGTTACATGTCTAAATATCTCTTAGTATGGACACGTTTGTTTCTTTAGCCGTTCAGGGAAATACAAATATCCGTGTATAGCTCTATAAAAAGCTCTTATTATAAAAACACCTAACAGCTAATAGATAGTCAATACAGATATGAAGATTACTGACCGTTACAACCATACAGTGACTCTCCCTTATCGCTCCACAACAGCCGAAGAAGGCAATCACGAACATGATCGCTCCGATCACGATGAACACCCATGGTGCGACCGTGATGTGACCTTCGAGCTCGCTCTTTAAGGCAGTCCAGTTCAGCAGCACCGCAACACCGATTCCGACTACTGCGAGTCCGAGGAGCTGGAAAAATAATAAATTGCTAATTAGATTATTATAATATGGTATAAACATATAATTAATATGATAAATTATATGACATGATCTTCGATATCGTTTTAGACTTTATTTGTAACAAATCCTGGGATTATAATTTACACATGGGCATAAGAATAGAATTTCTATAAACTACATGAAATAAAAGCCTTTTAAATTTATTCATTTTTATTTCTCTCTACACATAATTATTGGGTCAAAATAACTCACAACTTTAAGCTTATAATTATGAAAAAGATTATTATAAGTCGAGTCAGCACGGGCAATGACTCCCGTATATCAAAATCCAACTTGTTTTTTAGTGTGTAAGATTTGGGAAACCTTTTAAGTAAAAAATACCTATCAGGGTTCCCAGCTCTTCCATAACAAACTTAATATTAAAAACCATTTTTTTAATTACAATGTTTTTGACATTGACACATATCTAACTCTCAACTTTCTTACTCATTGTACTCAAACATCTTCAAAGGTTTGCGATAATTATAAACGTCGTATTGAATCTCGCAAATGTCAAAAGTGTACGCCCATTTGTTACGAAGATTAGGTCACTTAAATCTATAAATACGAGTGATCTAAGGCCTATGTCGACCAACTCCAAACCGCACATAAACAGTGTTTTAACCTAGCGTTAACCACCACTTAATCAGGCTTTATTAGTACACTCAAAAAATTAAATAAAGATAAAGTGTTAAGTGGTATGACATTACACTATCGTTGCTTAAACATACTAACAACAATTAAACTTAAATGATAAGGAATCAAAGAGAAAAGATTTAAAGGAAATTTAATAATAGAAAAAAATAAAATACAAATAACGCTGAATATACAATCATAAAGTAACTGAACGAAAGGAGTGTATATAGAATACTAATCCTTGGGATTGATTTGCTCCAGTTCAAATATTTATGGCTGCTCTGCCTTACAAACAATTTGTATGACTCAAAACTTGACGATTAAAAAGAGTGGCGGAAAGTTTCTTGCCAGTTCTATGCCCTTGACTTGCGAACTGGTGGTAAATTTAGAAACAATTTAACATCTATTCTGTGGACGTTTATAAGTGTATTTGGTCACCTATATTAATATAGTTATTTTGAGTTTGAGAATGATATTGATTAAAAGCCACAACTAGGAAATCAGTATTTTGTATCACAACATAACGTGACCGCAATAGTACAATTATATTTTAATTATCTATAATTACAAAGATATAATCAATATCTGTGTAGGTTCTATCCCTACAAGACCATTAAACATACTAGAAACAGGAAGGGTTTTTTATATATAGCAGGTGGCAACAGGCAGCCACACTAACATTGCCAGAGTCCTTTTAAAAATTGGCACGTTATTTTCCTAGTAGTAGTTCCTACAGTAGTCACCCATATTAATATAGTTATTTTGAGTTTGAGAATGATATTGATTAAAAGCCACAACTAGGAAATCAGTATTTTGTATCACAACATAACGTGACCGCAATAGTACAATTATGTTTTAATTATCTATAATTACAAAGATAATCAATATCTGTGTAGGTTCTATCCCTACAAGACCATTAAACATACTAGAAACAGGAAGGGTTTTTTTTTATATATTATAGCAGGTGGCAAACAGGCAGCCACACTAACATTGCCAGTCCTTTTAAAAATTGGCACGTTATTTTTTTTAATGACTCTAAGTCGACTTGGTTCAACATTCAATGGGTAGCTGGTTTCACATAATGGTTGTGGAAAGACGGACGTCGAGGTGACACGAGTGGAATTTCGTACTCTGCCTCTGATAAAATTCAGCTGTAGGTAGTAATCCGAACAAATCTGAATACTGTCCGTGGCAAATGCGGTAGAAGATGCAGAGAGACCCCACACGTCTACGCAATGCCAAGAGATCAAATCCTTACTATACTTCTAAAACATGAGTTCATGAGAAACATAACTATTAAAATTTGTACGAAAAATACAAGCATTCGGCGCCCATACTTGGTTGATCGGCTTTAATCCGTTTCGGTTCGTAACTTCGCAAACCGTATAGGATATCCACCCTCCGTGTGATTTTCCCGACCACTGTATGCGTTTCAAAACAATTGAGGATTTCTGACTAAAAATAAGAAATATTTCCTATATTACATCAGCCTCATACTTTATCTATCTGAGGCTTTATTAAAAGCGGGTTAATCAGGCGTTATTAGGAAACTACTCGTATTTATTACGAATGGTATTTAGTCTCTATACGAATATCATATAATATAAATCTAACGCATTTTCTTAAAATACGCTGAACTCATAAAAGAGGCAATAATGTATCCATTTTTTAAATAGACCAAAGGAGTAGTAAAAGACTTCTAACTAATCAATACATACAAAAATTATTTATTCCAGTGTATGTAATCACAGTAGAGCTTACATATTGACTTTGTCTCACCCATGCGTCACATTGCGCAAGAGTGCACAGATGGCGGGATATTGGGGTCAAACGGGTTTATTTCATTTAAGCTTTCACTTCCAACGTAATGCTTTTATTATATAAATATAGTTATAAATTATACACAGATAAAAAATGTTTCGCATTATTGTTTCTTGCATAAATTCACAGAACGTCTTAGCCCGTTTAAGTAGAACCATCAAACCATTTCTGTGACTTAATAATTAGTTATTGATTCAATTGCTGGTAATATAATAATATAGCTTTATTTAAATCCATACAATACATATACAAACTAAAATATTGTAGGTTAGGTTAGGTACATATTTATTTGGCCCCCCGTAAAAGCCTCCTCCAAGGCAATCCACAATTTTCTATTTTTTTTCTTCCCACTTGACTAGCCTCCACTGGCCGCTACGAAAACTTAATATAAAAAATCGAAAGCTCTCGTTCGCTATTGATAAGTTGCCTTACAGATGTCGCCAGCTGTTAAGTGGTATATTATTAGCGGCAACGTTTTAAGAAAATTATATATATTTGTTTTGGACATTTAAAAGTATAAACGGGTATTACTTACATTACTAATTAACTATAATTATTAAAGCGTTCGTTTTAAACAGCCATTACTTTTTTCCATACTCGAACTCGCGACCTTTACTAATATATAGCTGATGCTTTCCTTGCTCAACGAATAAGTATCGCAATACAGCGAGAAAATGCTGCCAGCATTAAACACTGCCATGGGGACCAAACTTTTTAAATTTTATTTAGATTAAGAATATTGTAAATACTGTTTATTTGTGTGTTGGAATAAATATTTAGGTTAATAGAATAAAACATAAAATTTAAAGTAATTTGAGATGTTTCATCCTTCACCAGTATGCAGATAGATAACACCAACAAATTCTGATAAGAGTGCCACGAGTTCATTCAAGTAGGTTAGTGGATGTGTACTTTGAAAGTATGTACCAAACAAAATTCAATTAACACATATACATTTAGGTAAATTCGCTTTTCGAAAGCTATAAGCAAATCGTTTAGTACTCAATGTTAAAAGAAGGCCATTTACAATTATTAATGTATACGCGAACTAATTACATTTACATAACGTTACGACAGCTTTTAAGCAATCTAAAGATAAAAATGTATTAATAATAAATACGTGTTTACATTCGTTAAATTTATATTTATTTAAATATGTTGTACTCGAGTCAAAGCTTTAAAATGTAATTGAAAAAAGTTAATTACTTAGGTTAACATTTATAACTTACTTAGCGCTCTGTGTGAATCCGAGATGTCAAAATCCAATATGTTTTTGATATACGGAAGTCACACTAGTAACTCTCGTTTCTGAATATCATCCTTAGAATCGTATTCAAAGACGTACATAAAGCTGTACTAGGTACTAAGGAAAGATTTGTATATTTTGTATATCAATCCTAACTTGTTACTTAAAATAAAATATGTACAGCCTTGCCAAATGTGCAGTTTGTTATATGTACATATTTATATATTTCGTAATCCTACAGCTAACAAAATATAAAAACAAACAATTACACTTAAAATATAGCCAAAAATGGAATACACAATATTTACTAAAATGTTGAAACATTTACAAAAGGGAAAAAACAATAAAAATTATTCAATACATTTAACTATGTAATAATTTGGCTGTGATGTGTGTGAGGTGTATACGGGGTATGCATATGATGTAGGTGATTTTGCGCTGTGGATATTCTTAATACTCATTTTAAATATATTCCGCGACAGCTTAAACAAGTCAAGGCTTGTCTTGTTGTATGTCCGGGCTGCGCGTTACAAAACTGAGATTTGCCCATATAACGCTATTCTCGATTGCTCTGACCGTGAGTATATAGTTAATACAATAGTTAATAGGTACACAAAACTATGGACCCCGCCTGTCAAAGCTTTAAACATAATTTCAGACACATTCCATCATTAATCACTCATGACTTTATGAAGTCATAAAGGTGACGAATGTATGACTAGTTGCTAATTTTAAGTTATCGTGTACAATGTGTAATTATCAAAACTGAAAATGTGAGCGGTGACCTCATATGGGTAAACATTTTGTTTAAATTAATATTGATGTTTAAGGTTAAAATGGACTTTTCTTCGTCCGTACCGTAATCATTAAAATTAAATCATTTAATTGCATTTTTTTAACTTAAAGTACTCTTCTGCCCTTTTCCCTTTTTTATATATTCTATATTGAAGGTAGGTTTATTATTACTATATACAATAAAAAATGGAAAAATAAAACAAATTTAAAAAGTTTGGTCCATGTGGCAGTGCTCCTTTAACATTGGCGGATTTCCTCGCTGTATTGCTATACTTATTTACGTTGAGCAAGGAAAACACCAGCTCTGGAGCCACCGGTACTATCTACCAAGCGCCAACTCAATCATAACTTGATTAGCGCCTGTGCACTTGAACCTCACGGCCCAAGATTCTCTACACCAAAGGGAACAAAATCAAAGTTGGAGGAAAGACTTATATTTGAGCCGTTTATTATCCATCCATCCATCTTTTTTGATTGTCCGAAGGACACACACGTAGCATGCCATACCAAGGCCAAAGGTTTTATATTAAAAGTTGTATGTTTAGGTTCGGGCCTTACATTTATCTGTACTGAAAATATACTGCCTGTATCTGTTTCGTGATCATGTTGTTATTTCCTCTGACAAGCGAGTGTTAAAGTGCATTTATAAAAATGCATTGATGCATCGCCGTAATTTGAATGCTCGACCTCGGGGTGAGAGTGACTTACTCAAGCCACTAACACTGCTCTATTTTATATCTTAGGTCAAAATGAAAATGACCATTTGTTAATACGATATTATAACTACGGCAATTACAACATTTTTAGGTCTGGGCCTCAGATTTCTGATCTAATAGGCAAGTAGGTAATCAGCCTCCTGTGCGTGGTACACGCCGTCGACTTTTTGGTCTAAGGGTTCGAGCAAATGTTAAATGCGCACATAGAACGAAAGTCCATTGGTACACAGCCGGGGAACCTACGACCTCAGGGATGAGAGTCGCACGCTGAAGTCAACACTGCTCTCAAGTAGCATTTATAAATTTATAAATTGACCAGCTATTGGACTGTTTATTTATTTACGTGCATTTAATAGCAAGGGGAGTTAAAGAAATGGAAACTTAAGTCCTTCAAGAAAATAGCGAACCAATTATTAAAAGGCCGGCAACGCACTCGCGAACCCTTTGGAATTGACTGTCCACGGTATCAATTAACATCAGGTGGGTAAACTTTCATCCTGAATACGCGACATTTTGTTTCGCTTACATTTTCGTATGTTTAGCACGTAATTAAAAAAACACAAAAAACACGACTTATCATGTGCTAATCAATACGGGGTGAACGGTCGTAGTAAAAACGTAGTTGCCAGGTACCTAACGTATAAATAGTGTTTGCGAAATCTACCGAATCTAAAATAGTTCCTGCGTCGGCGCATCGACTTCTAGTTGAGATTTAAATGTTTTGGATGATCTCTCTTGTAAAATTTTAGTTATTAGTATAAAATACTAGTTCGCCGCAGGCATTTTAAGATGTGCTTATTATAAATTCACCCGTTGGTCTAGCCATTTTGAACACATTTCTTTTTTAATTTTCACTAGCATATACTTGCGTTCAAGAAATAACCTATCAAATTTAATAATATTAGCGTAAATTATATAATTAAATTAAAGAAAGTTAGTTTGGGAAATTTGATGCGAAATAATATTGCGCCTTAGAAATTTACGAAAATATTCAAAGATATTTTTGTGTTTGTACTTCTCAGAACCAAAGCAAACATTGAGCGTTAACATAGCCACATTTTGATCGATTTTTTTCTGTTTTTCTGTAACATTCGATGGATTCTAGGCAAGATATTTTGTTGGCTATATTGACACTAGGTTGTAGGTTGGTCAATGGTTCTTACAACAGATTCTGACAATAGCTTAGCTTTTTGAAGCCCATTTAGGCGTGTACTGTATAGGAGATTATTGTTTATTTGTTTAATACACACAAGGGAGCGTTCAAGTATTACGTAACGTATTTTGGGAGGGGGGGAGGTCCTTTTGTAAAACGTTAAGATGCGGGGCGGGGATTAAATTACGCGTTATTGTCAATATTTTTTTCGACTTACACCACATAATAGTAACTAAAGAGTCACTAGGTGGTCACGAAACGTTTTACTATACTTGGGTACAGTACTGTACTTGGGTACTGAAAAACGTCAATAATCTCCAAAAATTGCGTTACGTAATACTTGAACGCTCCCTAATGAATTGGTCCGTTTACCAATGGCCATAATATTATTGAGATACGAGCTAATTCTTTAAGAGTAATAGGGCCTATTTTGTTAATGTCATCGTTTCAAATATAGTAACAAAAGTACGAAACTCAGTCTCAAATCATATTCTATTTATACGTGTTGCTTCATATCGTCGTAAACGTAAGCTATTCGTAAAGAGTGCGTAAAAACTAAAGATCAAATGGCCTCGACACGCTTACTAAACCATGACAAAGTTATGACTCACAAAAATAATTCAATGAAGACAAAATGACTAAAAACTTGAATAATTGCATTTAATAGCGAGGGGAATTACAGAAATACGAACTTAAGTCCTTCAAGAAAAGAGCGAACCAATTATTAAATGGCCGGCAACGCACTCGCGAACCCTTTCACATTGAGTATCCACGGTATCACTTAACATCAGATGGGCAAAATTTCATCCTGAATACGCGACATTTTGTTTAGCTTAAGTCTAAACATTTTCGTATGTTTAGTTCCAAATACATCCACGGATCACTGATAAAGTTATCCATCCATTTGTATTACATACTTTATAATATTCTTAGCTAACATAGTTATAATAATAATTAAAAATTTATGAATAGAAAATTAAAACCAATTTAAAAAGTTAGGTCCCTGTGGCAGTGTATCTCAAACTCAAAATATCTTTATTCATATAGGTAAACAAGTACACTTATGAACGTCAAAAAGAAGTTAAATTAATTGTAAATTTACATTTACTACCAGTTCGCAAGTCAAGGGCGTAGAGCGGGTAAGAAGAACTGGCAAGAAACTTTCCGCCACTCTATTTAATCGTCATGTATTGAGTCATACAAATTGTTTGAACTGGAGCAAATCAATCCCAAGGATTAGGATCATGTAAGTATTCGTCATCACATCTTTAATGCTGGCAGCATTTCCTCTCATTTTTCATTGGCTCATTTTTAACTTAGTGTTGAAAGGTATCGAAGCAAAGGAGAGGTCAAAATCCTCAACCGGACAGCACGTAAATACTACAGTACTGTCTTGTTTCTATTTAAACATCACAAGTCTTATAAGTAACTAGACGAGAGACTAGACGTCTAGACGGGCTAGACTTCATGTCATGAACCCATCACTTGCATTTTAGATATTCCTAAATATACTTAGACATGTGATTGAGCACAGATCGCAGCTGGAAAAATCTGCCATTAAATTGTCAAATATACTAAGATAAATAGCACAAGAGGTAATATCATAAGGACATTTCCGGAGTAGTTGTCGTACGGGCCCGGCGGGAGACGCCAAGCCTTTTAAGTAATAACCCTTTTTAGGAAAGGGGAGTGTTAATACTCTAGCTGCATAGCTTCTCGGCCACAGATCTGCCTGTTTGTGTACTATATGGCTATAGTGCTATACAATCTGTATCTAATTTTATGGGTGGAAATGAATGTTTAAAGAACTTTATTTCTCATTACAATTTTTTTTTGAAGTTATACTTCTTTAGGCGCGTTATGAAAAATTTATGAGAGTGAAATTTTACGATGCGCGCGCACCGTGACACAAAATTAGGAGTGTGATTATAGCGTGCGCGAGCGAGATAGGAATAAGACAATCTACAAGTAAAAAGAAATAGAATATGCGTGAAGTTCGTATGCCAAGAATTTTGAATGACCATAATGACATTTGTCATTTACCTTTTAAACAAATAAAGGAGTTTTAATTATTGTTTCAAAGAAATTTAGCAATGCTTTTTGAATTATATATAATCAGAAGTGATTTAAATTGAATATTTAAACCAATACTAATTAATATTTGTGAAAAAACTGTGCTCATCAACCTTCCTAAGTGCTTCATTACAATTGAGGTTAACTATCAGTTTGTATTATTATTATCGAGTAATGTTTTGATTAAAAAAATTACCACATTGTTTAATCAAAACATGTATTTTTTCTCTAGCAAATATAAGGACAAGAGACAAAAAACAATTGATGAATCAGTGTAAGTGCACTAAATTGAATACAAAAAAAGAGTTGTCATCTTATCGCTGTGAAACATCAAAAACTGGAGGTGGAACAAAGCCAAACTATTTTTAATAATGCCAAAGAAGTATAACTTCTTACGCGCGTACATAAGTACACGCACCCTTTTTTTTTTATTTACATGAGAAACTTAATATATTATATATATACTTATACGAACGAGATACACGTCGCCATCAGCCGTCCCAATTTTAGTCTAGGCTCATTCTGATATGTATCTTTAACGCCTTTTTGAATTGGTTAATCGCGCTCATATAATAATATAATTGCACACCCTCATACCTAATAGACTTCTTCAAATAATTTGTAAGCGGCTTCGGCTAGATAAGCAAACTCGCTCGACGAGCATTGCGTGTAGTGGTGTGTTTTTAAAATTAATAAACGCGATATTGCTGACCTGGTAATTAAAAAGCCTATTATAAAAGTTATATTTAGTATAGGTAATATATCAATCGTTATATTATATTTGGCCTATACTTAGCACTGACCCTGTTAGCTGCATGCGCAAGGAGCCAAAAAAGGAACAATGGAATTAGTATGGTTATCCTCGTTCATTAATAAAGAGTTGCATAATCAACTTTAGGATAGTCGAGGTCAATTCGAACGTCATCAATTAACCCTCATTAGATATAATTGCAGTTAAACAGATGCTGTAGTCCAGAAATTTTACGACCATAAAAAAGTCCAGCATTTTATGAACTGGACTGAATTTGAAATCACCCTACCATAAATTCCTGGTCAATTGTTTGGTTTAAAATTTTTCGTCAAATCCATTATAAAAGCCGTTTTTGTTATCGTAACAGTTAAATAGTACATTTCTAGCAGGACATCTTTTGTCA